GAAACACCCTCACAACATAAATTAAAGTGACGATACCTCCCACCTACCAGTCATCTGGAAACCAGCCTTAGTTAACAAACAAGCCCCACCCACCACCCAGGCCATTACAACACGAAACAACAATAGACACACAGCCAGCACCAATCTACCAATTAAGATACAACCACACAACCAATTATTCCACTTACTGAAACAAAGCCAGCACTTCACACACCCCCACCAAGATTTATAGAAAGACGGCAGCTCCGATCACACTTTAAGCCCGAAATCCTGTCTGAAGATGGTGAGTGAGACTCACATCTTTTATAAATAAAGCTTTATGTGCACTCGCCTATTGTTTCCATGGCCCAGCACTGGGTCACATTCCAGGGGTTTGGGGACCCTTGATATAAGGTATATAAGGTAGCAGATGTCTATTTAAGGTAGCAGACGATAAAGAAAGAGGTCCTTTTTGTTTGGCAATGAATTATTGTAGTATTTGAACTAATTATTCCCAAAAAATTTTTTTTCTTAAACTGGATTTAAAAAATGCTACTTGAATATGATGGTAATAGTGATTGGCTTATTTGGAGGGTTGTTGTTCTTTCTTTCCAGTGGAAGATCAGATGTTTCGTTCTGTGGAAGGCCAGGCTGCATCTGATGAAGAGGAAGAGAAATGGATAGGCGACCAGCAAACCCAAATGGCTGAAGTAAAGAAGCTCTTAGCTAGATTTCCTTGTTGCAATAGCGGGTACGTCTCAGTGTCTATGTGAAGTCATAGTTGCAACTTTTGTCCTTGCTATTTTTTTCTGAAAATGCTGTTGTGTGGCATAGCAAAAATATCACAGGTAGACTTGCTTTGAAATATGTGATATGGTTATGCAGATAGTCCTCGCTCAGCCACCACTTGTTCAGCAACTGCTGAAAATTACAACAGTGATGAATGGGGGAGCTACTGCCATTCCTTCTAGTGGCCATCACAGAACACCTATGGTCACATAATTGTGATTTGGGTGCTTGGCAACCAGCTTGCAATCACAACAGTTGCAGCATCCTGTAGTCATGTGATCACCATTTGTGATCTTCAGTGCCGTCTTCAGAAATGGGGAAGCTGGCTGGAGGTCACACATGACAATCAAATGACCACAAGATGCTGCAAATGCATAGGATATACGTAACAACAGTAACTGCTGTTGTAAGTCAACATGACATCACACTTTACAACTCTGTCACTTAGCAGTAGACTTGCTGGTCCCAATTACTGTTGTTAGGAGAAAACTTACCTGTCTGGAGCAGGCATATGTAGGATTTATTAGTAATTGTCCCTTTTTATGTTTGTGCCTTCAAATCATTGTTGACTGCAGGCAATTTCCTTGGCAAAATTTTGGAAGCGATTTGTTTATTAAACCAATTTATATAGCTGCCCATATTAGGAGCTTTTACCTCCAAATATCTTAATATTGCATATAATTAGACTGGATGGAGAAAAGAAGTGACCAGAATGTTTCTCTCTCTAGGTGTGATGACACAATGCTGAAGCATCTGTGGTCATCCTTTGGAAACCCCAGTAGCTGTGGCCATGAAAACTCCGTTGTGGAATTAATCCAACAACTCTCAAAATTAAAAGATGACTTTCAAATGAAAGGGCAAGAAGAAAAAGCTCTGGAAACAAATATGGAAGAGGTAAATTCATTTCATATTCTGTCTTTTCAGGAGGAAATTATTTCCAATTTGTGGGTACTTATTACAAGGGCTGCATATTTCAGAATTTCTTTTTCTTATCAGACCTGCTTAAATTTGATCAAAAGACACTTTCACTGATATTACCTGCACATTTCAGAACAAGAAGACTTAGCTGAAAGCTCAGTTCTTATGCAATTCTTTAATTGCAGCGCATAATTCCATGGACTCTTATACAGTTCATCTATTTACTATTTCTTGGTGAACAAGCCTTTAAAAATTGTGTTCTGTTAAAGTATGGGGAGCAGGGTACATCTATATGTCATCAGAACACAACTAATCATCTCCAGTTGATAGAGTGAGGGATAGCATGATTTTCTATCTGATAGCATCTAGATGGGCATCAGAGGTGGGTTTCTGCTGGTTCGCCCCAGATCGGGCGAACCTGTAGGGGGGGGCGGTGGGAGGCTCTGCCCACCTGCCCAGACGCTTCTGCACATGCGCAGTAGCATCGCTCGTGCATGCACACACATGAGCAAACCGGTTGTAAAATAAATTGAAACCCACCACTGATGGGCATAGTTACCTAGCTTGGTCGTATACCATACTAGCATTGTGGTTCATACTGCATGTTTATTGCAAATGTACATTTGTACATAAATGAAAAGTATATATTTCATTGTAAGAGTAACTACGTTCCTTTCTTCCATTACAAATTCCACCTCCAATTTTATGCTGTTAATATTTCTAAAAATGGAAAACCCGTTTATGAGTGGAATTAGCAACTTCCCAATTGCTACTTTAGACCTTCCCTTCCTTTCTTTAATATTTTATCTATTCTGTGCTATTATGAGGCATAGTTCATATCCTGAGGAAATTGAAATAATTATTTGATTTGCCAAGTGGTGGACCTTTTTACATTTCTAGAACTATCTTCTAAACATCTCTAGATCTCTGAACATCTGAGATCTGAATAGATACACTAACACGAATATTTCAAGTTAATTGTGCATCTAAGTGGCATAGCAGGTTTAGTTGTACATAAAACCCCAAGTCTTAGAAAGAAGTATATAAAAAGAAGCAAACTAGAAGTCATTTAAACTCCAGGCATCAAGAATAATGGACACCTGAAAGAATCAATAATTGATCCAATCTTTTTCATCTTCTATGTTTTTACAAAAGCTAGAAGATGAAAAGAGCCATTTGCTTTGTTTCCTTTTTAAGTGTATTTCAATAAAGAGCTGCAGTTAGAGAACTATTTTGCAAAGAAATTTTAATGAAGGTGTCAGATAACAGATGATATATTGAAGTAATCATTAGTAAACTCTAAGCCTAGAATTACAAAATGTTGCCTGTGGAATAGATATCTGACTTTTGCTGGAATATACTTAGTCATTGACCACGTCATGTGCCTTCTCTGTATAAGGAATTAACTGTAAGCAGTCATTTTCTAGTGTATAGATACATGAACATTGGAAAAGCTTTTACAAGGATTTAGATGAGGGGGTCGGCAAACTTAAACATTCAAAGAGCCATTTGGACCAATTTCCCACAGAAAACACCGGGAGCCACAAAGGTCCTAACCGGAAGCCACCCGTTCAATTCTGGAGCTGACCAGAAGTTCAGTTCCCTCACCATAGAGTCTCCTCCTAGCGCGGCATACTTTTTCCTCTACCTGTCATAACCGAAAGCCCTATCAATTGTGAAGACAACTGGAAAACCCTTGCCATAGAGTCTTGCCATAGAGTCTTCTCCTGGCACACTGTGCTTCCCCCCCCCCCCCCACTGGAAGTTCCTCTCAAAATTGTGGCACCGACCAGTAATGGAGCCGCAGCAGAGGGAGGAAAGAGCCACATGCGGCTCCAGAGCCGCAGTTTGCTGACTCCTGATTTAGATAATCTTAATGTAGACAAGGGATTGGTTTAGACTTAACGATAATGAAGCACATTGAAAACCAGCCTATAGTGTTACTGCATATTCCAAAGGAGTTTTAAAGTTGGAAAATAGCAGCCTATACATTAATTGCAGCACATTTATAGTGTTAATCAAGAAAATAATTGAGGCTGTGTTCAAACCCAATGTAATAAGCTCATGGGAATCTTTGTCAGAATTTCTTAGCAGTTTTGTTATTGGGGCAAAATGCAGAGACCCAATGTGCTTGCAATCATGAGATACATGTTGAAAATCTTCTTGTTACATTTGTTTATCTAACAAATAAAAAATGGACAGAAAGAAATAGAACATTCTGGAATAATATTGCACATTTCAGTCTTACTTTGGATACAGGCGTGTGTGTTGTAAGGAAGCCAATGCTGATGATTACAAGAATGTTGTTAGCCGGGAAGACAGGAACAAGATGTTGAATTGTAGTGAAAATAATCTACCCCAGTTCATTGTTGTCTGAGGAAAGAAAAATAATGTCTAAACCAGGCTGCTGATCAGATGGTGGTAATGTTATGACTGACAAGAGCCAGCAATTATTTATGTGCTTTTTTTGTTACCAAAAGGACTATGGATATAGGAATTTAAATAACACATTTAATTGTTTAGGGAGACTATGTCATCTTACCATATGGCAGATTTTTCTGGAAGTTAGAAGATGACTTTTTTTTAGAATCAGAGTTGTGCCGGCAGACCTGGGGTTGATGAGTTCCCCTCCCCTCTCGACTTTTATGGTTGTATGATTCTTGTTTATTTTAAACACGTGTATTGTGTTTTATGTTCCCTTTTCCCCCCTTTGAGTTGTTCGCCGCCCTGAGTCCCTCCCGGAGAAGGGCGGCATACAAATAAACTAAAACTGAATTTGAATCTGAATCTGAATCTATTCTATTCTATTCTATTCTCTATTCTATTCTCTATTCTATTCTCTATTCTA